AGACCAATATTCTTTCTTTGACAATGAAACTACTATTTGCATTACACCAACTCGGCTCATATTCATCTAATAATAATATTTATAAACTTGTCAAGTTACTAAAGCTCGTTAAGAGAAGCGGACCATGCTGGGCCAAAGTGTTTAATTTCTTAATTAATATTAAACTATTTCTACTTCACCTCTACATTTGAACATACTTTAAAATGTAGTTTTAGCACTCCCATCAGTTCTATCCGAGAGCACCTTTATACAACCCTTTAGAGTGAGTCTTTTCTTTCATGATAAGTTCGCTTCCACACTTTACGAGTCGTTGAATACATCGCGAACCAGTTCTATTTCCATAATGATACTATCAACGCGGGATCAACCTTTATTTCCCAAATATTCTAACAATGCAAAATGGCGAACATGGGTCACGCATCATATTGCGTGCTGAATTTGATTGGACATTTAGAAATTTACGATCAAGGCAAAATGTCCCAAGATACTAAAACCATTCCTAGGCCCAAACATTTGGAATTGCTTGGAAAACTATGGGAAGTTTTAACATAGCTTTCTAGATCAGGTCAATTTGATTTGTGAATACAAGTATACTCCAAAATTGAATTGTAATTTCACGTTCAAAATAATTATCAAAATTAAAATAAATATGGTTACTTCAAGATATTCCCTTCCTTCTTCCTCTATGTTGTTTGTGTAATTTAATTGATTTGGGGTTTTAATTAATGGTTATTTCAATTCCATCTCTACAACAGAATTGAACGTAAAATTTCTTCTCATCAAGCTTCTCACGGGTATAGAACTTGCTAACAGTTTTCAATAAAATAGTTTTCTAGAACTTTATGAAAAATCATTATTTTATTTTGTCCTTTATCCAAATTTAACAACTTAGCCCTTGTTTGGTCCTCAATATTTTCAAAATACATTTTTCTCTATCATTTTCAACCACACATTTTTTAATAAAATAATATTACACGCAAACTCAAAATTTTTCCTTATTTTTTAATTACACATTTTGCATAAAAAATACTATGCCAAAGTGTATTTCGGACATAGAAAACAATATGGAAAAAAAAGGTATGTAATTGGAAGATTATACATACATGTAAACAGAGAGTATTATACCTTTCTTTTGACTTATCCTAAAAATTGAACAAGGTTTGACACTACTATTTTTTCCTTGTCCAGAAACATAAAACCAAAAACCCAACAAGAATACGGAAAGCGAAGACCAATGTGAGGATTGTACATACTCGTAAATAGATTGTTCCATATCTCTATTTTGGGGCCTTGTAAATGGATACAAGAGAATTTAATTGGTGAACAGCATTGTCGTGGGAGAGATTAGAATCGGCGGCTACAGATACATTGGAGATGGCGGCGGATATCTCTTTCTCAACGATACGATGGCTGTGCGGATCGTCTTCTTGTAGTGCTTGAAGGGAACGCAGAGGAACTGATGTTCCAGTTTGAAAAAATTGTAGCAATTACCAAATTCCAAATAACAGTCACAAGCAGATGCGAAAGAGCGGCAATCCACCGTCGAATACACCTCTATTCGAAGTTTTCTCATTCGTCGGGAGTAGTCTCCTTCGCCGAGACTATTAAGATTGTTATTTTATCAATACTGGAAGAATGTGTACATCGCATATTTATTTTTTTCATTTTTAGTTTTCATTATATTGGGAGTTATTTATTTTTTTCAATTTTAGTTTTTGTTGTATTAAAAGTATAATTGTAAATTTGTTGTGATGTATTTATTAAAATTATATTTTAATTGTGGTGTGATTATAATGTGGTGTAGTAATATTTAAAACACTATCATTATATTTTAGCCTTTAATATATTATAGATATACTCCGGGATAGCCTCAAGAATTTGATAATTATCCAGCAACTCTCTGAGCCCTTGTTCGATAAAAGCTTTTTTAAAGATTATAAGCTTCTTTTTTAATATATTTAATTGAATCCACAACTTTTGCATCTTATTTAAACACGCATTCCTTGATACCCATTAACATATAATTTCAAAAATAGAACTTACAAAAATGTGTACTTTTCAAAGTAAAATTTAAACAATATATATAGCTTTATTTAGATCAAGTGGTTCAATAAAACTCACAATCTTTCACGTAAATAATTGACTTTTCTAAAATAAAAATAAAAAAATGACCGTAAGTAGCATTTCAAGCAAATATTTACGATTTATACGTATATAGTATATCGTCAACCATTTTTAATAAATAATTCACACTCAAAAACAATTTCATGCCCCTTTTGGTGGGGTATAAAACTCAATTTTTTATCAAAGTAAAAACCAATAATTAATTTTATAGAACTCACAACTTTTCAATCATATATTTTATCAATTTTTATTAAAATCTGTTAATAATTTGATTTTAACTAAATACTAATAGACATAATAACGTACTACGCTGGTATCATTACTGGTTAGACACAAATAATGTACATAGCTGTACTAATTCATTACAAAAACCAGCTGAATATCAATTAAAGCACTTCAATGAACTCCTAAAGAGTAAACTGATGACGACCACAAAAAATCCTACAGAATATCCCAAACCAAAGGGAATAGCCATGTTGCTTCAACGACTGAGAAGATCCTCCGGTGCCGGTGGCAACATTTCATCTTCACCTCCGGCGCTTGCTGGAGGGCAATTTTTTTGCAGTACAGACCCACAAAGTTTAGGATTCCCCTCAAATGAAGTGTTTGTGAATGTATCAAATTGACCACCCTTTGGAATCTCTCCTTCCAAATCATTGTTTGCCACGGTGAAATGAGACAAGAAATTGAGTTTTTTCAGAGATTCGGGGATCTCGCCGGTGAGATGGTTCCCCGACATGTCCAATTTCTCTAAATTGACAAGACGGGATAATTCATTTGGAATGCTTCCATTGAAGTCGTTATCGTTGAGATCCAGTTCTGTAAGAAGTNNNNGTTGAGATCCAGTTCTGTAAGAAGTTTCAAGTTTCCTAATTCTGCCGGAAGATTCCCACTCAGACTGTTATTCCCAACTTTGATTCCCCTTGGCAAGTTGAATAGTCGATTGTACTGGAGACTGTCGAATAAAAAAGGCAATGCTAAATTACTCAAGTTTGGGTCTGTATTGTCTGAAACTAAAGCTTTTAGGTTGCCAATTTCGCGAGGAAGTTCTCCAGTGAGGTGATTTCGAGTGATGTTTAGTGCAAAAAGGCTAGGCATACTCCCCAGCCATTTTGGAATTGTGCCCGTAATGTGATTGTAAGACAGATTCAGCACTTTGAGTTTCTTTAATTTTCCAATCCAAGAAGGCACTTCACCTTTGAGATCGCTTCCACCCAGACTGAGAATTTGTAGATTTTGGAACCCATTTTGATGTAATAAATGGCCATCATTTGGCACCGGTTCATCATTGAAGCACCCTGACAGGAAGATAACTGAAAGATTATCGCAGCGTATAAGAATCCTAAAAGCTCCAACAACGTTAGACAGGAAATTATAGGAAAGTGAGAGATGGGATAAAGATTTTAGGCCAGCCATGCAAGCTGGGATTTCGCCCGTCAACTGGTTATATGCTAATCGAACTGCAATCAGGGATCTACACAAGCACAGGCTAACTGTAATGTTTCCCACAAAGCTGTTGTTCCCAAAATCAATTACTTGCAGTTTCTGAAGTGGGGAAAAATCAAGAATCGCAATTTCTCCTCCCAAATGATTATTTCGTAAAAGCAGCATTTTCAGGCTGGTGCAATTCATCAANGACCATTTGTAAAATTAACCCAAATACTAAATAAACATAATAACGTACTCCGCTGGTTTCACTCCTCGGTACATGCAAATAATGTACAGAGCCTGTAGGTTTTTAACTAAAATATACTATAGCTAATTCATTACAAAGACCAGCTGAATATCAATTAAAGCACTTCAATGAACTTCTAAAGAGTAAACTGATGCTGACAACAAAAAATCCTACAGAATATCCCAAACCAAAGGGAATAGTGTACAACGAAGTTGCGGACTCTTCCTCCTCCGGTGCCGGTGGCAACATTTCATCTTGACCTCCGGCGCTTGCGGGAGGGCAATTTTTTTGCATTACAGTCCCACAAAGTTTAGGATTCCCCTCAAATGAAGTGTTTGTGAATGTATCAAATTGCCCACCTTTCGGAATCTCTCCTTCTAAATCATTGTTTGCCACAGTGAAATAAGACAAGAAATGGAGTTTTTTCAGAGATTCGGGGATCTCGCCGGTGAGATGGTTCCCCGACATGTCCAATTTCTCCAAATTGACAAGATTGGATAGTTCATTTGGAATGCTTCCATTGAAGTCGTTATCGTTGAGATCCAGTTCTCTAAGAAGTCTCAGGTTTCCTAATTCTGCCGGAAGATTCCCACTCAAACTGTTATTCCCAACTTTGATTCCCCTTGGCAAGTTGAATAGTCGATTGTACTGGAGACTGTCGAATAAGAAGGGCAATGCTAAATTACTCAAGTTTGAGTCTGTATCGTCTGAAACTAAAGCTTTTAGGTTGCCAATTTCGCGAGGAAGTTCTCCAGTGAGGTGATTTTGAGTGATGTTTAGTACAAAAAGGCTAGGCATACTCCCCAGCCATTTTGGAATTGTGCCCGTAATGTGATTGTACGACAGATTCAGCACTTTGAGTTTCTTTAATTTTCCAATCCAAGAAGGCACTTCACCTTTGAGTTTGCATCCACCCAGTGTGAGAATTTGTAGATTTTGGAATCCATTTAGATGTAGTAAGTGGTCATCATTGGGCACCGGTTCATCTTTGAAGCACCTTGACAGGAAGAGAACTGAAATATTATCGCAGCGTATAAGAATCCTAAAAGCTCCAACAACGTTAGACAGGAAATTGTCGGAAAGTGAGAGATGGGATAAAGATTTTAGGCCAGCCATGCAAGCTGGGATTTCGCCCGTCAACTGGTTATATGCAAATCGAACTGCGATCAGGGATCTACACAAGCACAGGCTAACTGGAATGTTTCCCACAAAGCTATTGTTCCCAAAATCAATTGCTTCCAGTTTCTTAAGTGGAGAAAAATCAAGACTCGCAATTTCTCCTCCTAAATGATTATTTCGTAAAAGCAGCGTTTTCAGGCTGGTGCAATTCATCAACGATGGAGGCACAGAACCATTCAGGCTGTTGGTGTGAAGAATCAGTTGGTCCAAATTTGACAGCAACCCAATATCTTTAGGAACCTCACCAATCAATTGATTCTCATGGAGATCTATAATGCTAAGATTTGATATAAGAGCAATGCTATTGTTGATAGGTCCTGTAAACTGGTTGTTACCTAAAAAGATTTCTATGAGTGTTTTCACACTGTAAAGATCATATGGAAGCCATCCGGAGAGAGAATTAAGACCAGCCCTAAAAACTTCCAGCTTAGAACATCTTCCAATTCCTTGTGATACATCGCCACTAAATTTGTTCATGGAGAAATCCAACA